TTGTTTTTTGTTTAAATTTTTTTTTTTTGTATATCAAACTTTAAAATGAAAGTTACTTTCATAAAATATGTAAAAAAAAAAAAAAAAAAGAAAAAAAAGTTAAAGTAAAAAAATCGTTTAATTTCCAACTGTTAAAAGGTAGTTTTGCTTTGTTGTAGCGATGAAAAAAATAATTAATTTTAAGAAAAATCTCTTACTTTTCAAACTTCTAATCTGACAAAATTGCGTGCGTTTTTGGCGCTCAAAACTTTAGGTAGTAATCCTCTTTTATGTCTTTCTCATGTAAATACCACCACACGAACACGTGAGTTTATAGAAGCTGGGATTGTTGTTGGTTGTTCATTTTTATTTGTTTTTGCATAAGAAAAAGTAAAAATAATTTTAACGTTATTAGTTTGTGATCTTTTTAAATTCTTGTACTAAACTTGGAGTCCATGACAATTAAATATATTTATTTTGAAGTCCATGATAATTAACTATATTTATTTTGGAGGCCATGACAATTAACTATATTTATTTTGAAAGTGACATAACTCACCTTTTCAAAAAAATCAATTTATGAAAACAATGATTAGAATGTAACGGTATCTCTTCATTTGTGAAATTTAAACTAATTGTGTTGAAAATTATTTAGATATATGGAAAAGAAGTTTTGCTAGTTCACGGTATAAAGGTATGGGGGCTGTCTATTTATTACGTCAACAAAATATAAGGGAAGGGTGGGGAGTCTAAATTTTTTTGACAATTGTCGACAAGGAGGAGAGAGAGAGGTCAAGACAATTTGACGTCAAGAATGTTACTTTTTTAAATAAATTTAATTACTTAAATAATTTAAAAATTAGGCAGTGTTTGCAGTCCTGTGTTACATACTCGCTCAAACTTCAATGTTTTAATAAAGCCGTTTATATTCCTACTTTTTTAAAAACGTGTTGTGCTTTAAAAAGATCCAACACATATAGAACTAAATGTTGATGTTCACTCGTAACACTATTATTTTTTTCAAAGTTGTTGTTGTTGGCTAGTCTGTTGAGCAAACAAAAAAGATTTATTTAAGTACATGGTCTTTATTATATTATTTAAACGTTTATAACAGGAGTCAGCAACCTGCGGCTCACAAGTCTCATTTAGTTTTTCAATGTTAAAGTGCAGCTCTTTAGGGGCTGCCCATAAATTACGTCACGCAATTTTTGACCGTTATTGAATCCCCCTCCTCCCCTCGTCACAAAATCGTAACACTTAAGAAGCGAGTTTTGAATGAGTCGTCACAAAACCACCAACCCCCCCCCCCCTTATAGCGCGACGTAATTTATGGACGACCCTTTAGATCCATGCACAAATAATAATATAATTATGAAATAAGGACATTGGTAGCTTTTTAAAAACAGAAAAACTTTGTAAATTACAATTTTTGGCTCATCCGTCTCAAAAAGTTGCTGACCCCTTGCTTAAACAATTTGTTATACTAGGCTCTATTAAAAATAACTAGCTTTTTTTGTGAAATTTAATTAGGCCTAAAGTTAAAGTGATGAGGATTGGTACATTGAAGTGTTGTATTAATTTGAAATATGTTCATAATTTAAACGTGTAAGTGAGTTCCTAAGTTTAGTCTGTTTAAAATTTTGCTATATTTTTTTTCCATTTAAATTTGTTTTTTAGGATAAAGGTAGGGTAAAAGGGTAATGGAATATTGACGTAATTTTATAGGGGGGTCACTGGAAGTTTGACAAATTGTTGACAAGAGGGAGGTAAAAATTGTTTCAAAATTGTTGACGTAATTAATGGACAGCCCTTTTATGTTAAAACATAAATCTTTAAAAATCTATTTAAAAAAAAAAACATATTGACTTACGCCACTTTCAAAATAAACGGCTCATGTTATAGTTTTTTACTTGTTTAACTTCAGCTATATTTGAGGGTTTGTTCTTATGCATTGTAATAGTTATTGTATTGTTATGGTTTCATCTTAAAATTCAAACCAACACACAATCCTAGCTAAAATAAAAATAGCTCATACATTGAATTTGATGTTTTACTCTAATTAATAACAACAACTTAATAATGATAATTTTTATATCAATTATTATGATTGATTTTGGCCTTTATCAAAACCATCATTTTTATTTTTTCAATTTTCTTTGTAGTATTTTAAGCATAATTTAACTTGAATTATACTTTATTATTCATATAATTTATAAGAAAAAATAAATAAATAATAATAATAATAATAATAATAGAATAGGTCAAGTACTAATACAATAAGTTAGAGGTTGTCCATAAAGTACGTACGGTTTTTTTTCGTTCGTCCCCTCACGCTTTTGGGGAGGTGAAGAAGCGTATTGCAAAATACGCTTTTTTTTGAGGGTACTCGAAAAAGCGTATTTTGCAATACGCTATTTGAGTACCTCCATCTCCCCTAAAGTACCTACGCTTTTAACCTATTTATCTAGCATTTAATGATATTTTTTTTTAATTTAGTGTCTCCTTTCTTTTATAATTGAAACACTGCCCCCTCCCATCTCATATATGCCATTTGCAGACCCTCTTCCCTTCCGAGCATACATACTTTATGGACGATTCCTTAGAGTATTTTTCTTT